TTTGACCATCCAAAAGCGGACAAACCCATAAACATATAGGCGTCAAAATGAAGCAAAATGTGAACGATAACGAAACATAGCCCGCCCTCAAGTAGAACTCACCGAACAACCAGCGCCACAACAAATAGAAAAGAAGAGAGAAAACAGATGGAACGCGTTTTTAGGGATTAAAGTCTGTGCGGGTGGAGGTTAAAAGTTTGACAAAGTTCGACGACAGTGCCGGGGGGGTACGAGACCAGTGACAAGAGGGACAGACGCGGACGAGTCAGCTCAGCCAGAACCCTGACTGAGTCAAGGAGAAGCAGAGAGTGGTCGTAACATCCGGATTACCAAAGTCTAGAGTGACGACCGCCGAGGTCCCGCTCGACAAGAGGTCTCGGGCGGTCGCGGCCCGGCCTGCAGGTCCATCTTCTCGGTCGACAGGACTCGGGCCACCCTAGGAGGCCTACTCTTCTCTCTGTCCTTTTGCATTGCTCGCGTCGGGACCCAAGACGCGAGAGGTCCGGTCATGACGTCGCCGGCCTCTGCAGGACGTCGAGGTCTGTCTCGGGAGGTGCTAGCTAGGTGCGACACAGCATGAGGAATGGAATATTTCTGAGTCGGCGCGACTCCGACTCCCTTGGTCTATCAGTAATCTGTAAAGATTTATAATAGTACAACCATAGACGAAATTTCTTTTCTCTCTGACCCCTATATCACCTACTTCTCTCTTTCGTGCATGCCGTAGTGTTACGACTGCGCGCTACATCATTCGAACTCCACACCCCCACGCCTTCAGTAGGAGAAGAGGAGGAGAGGCTGACGGACGGAAAGATGCCGTGTTCCTCGGCTACAAGCTCGGATAGTAGTTCCCTTGATGGTTCCATAACTCGAGTAACTGCTCTGCTGGCAGTGACAGGCAACACAAAGGAAGGCGGCGTGCTCCATGCCTAGTGACCTGAGATGAATGAAGAAGGTCGCAAGAATAGCGCGCTGGACGTACCTGTCACCAAACGGCTCTGCCACCTCCCTCCATGCCTGGTTCCTCCGGTTTGTATCCCGGTAAATAGTCTGGTCGTAAAGAACCGGGTGATTTGCTACCGTAATTTCTCGTTTGGAATATGAGGAAATGAACTGCGGTCTGTCTCTCCCAGCTTGCACGCGGTTTGATTGGCTAGCGCTTGTACTGTCTTTGCATAAACGGGATTTGATTGGCTGACGCTTCCAGCTCAGCTTCAAAAGTTGAACATTGCTCAACTTTTGAATCCTGAAAATCCTGAAAATCCTGGAAACCTTCGCTTTGCTTCCCCACAATGCAGTTCGGCGAAAAGCGAGGCAAAGTGACGTCACCCCATTCAAAGTCAATGGGCAGAAGCGTTGGAAGATTTTTTTAAAGCCGCTGTGTGGACGGGGCCTAATGGTATAAGGATGCAAAGGCATAAATGCGAGGATTTGGGTTTTCCCTTTCCTGTAGGGTTTTGCGTGTATGTTGATCAGACACATTGTACGTGATGGCTAAGGGGAGGGACATCTCTAAGCTATGAGACAAATAAATAGCTTTTTGAACATTACAGCATGTGAAAATGTTACAGCGCAGTGAAACACTAATTCAAACCTGAACATTAGCATAATATGTCCTCTTTAAATGGGTAGAGAATACAAAAAAATGGTGTCTGTCAAACTAAAGTTGCTCTTAGCATATGCAGATATACAAAGTGGAGTCCTACTGTACCTCCAGCTACTAAACCAGACTCTCCCAGCTGTATTGCCACTCCGAATCCTCCCAGCTTCACTGGAGCAGAGTTCTCCTTCGAGGCCAGCAGCACGCAGTGAGGCTGCAGAGGAATATAACAGAGGCAAAGTTAAAGGAACATGTCAAACACATTTTACATTTCAACAGGTCAAATGTGGGAAATTCACTTCGAAAGATGCCCCGCACAATATCTGCTTACACGCATGATTATTGTTTCTGCTGACGCCAACAAATATTCTCTGCAATTCTTCATAACCGCGCAGAGCACTGTGCAAAAGTGCAGGATCTAGCATCTTCGATCGCTGGTTAGAGAGCCACGGTTTCACAATGACAACTCGACATGCAGAGCTGTGACCACACTCAATGATGATGCTGATAGAGAGAAACATGAAGTCACCACACAGGAGATCATCAGTCCACATGCATGAATTTCTAACTTTAGATAGTGTAACAGGACTGGGCTGACAAAAAAGTAAAACAAGTGGTAGAGCAGCAATCACAACAGAGGCCGTGTTTGAATCCAAAGAAGGGCTTTATTGCTACCAAACTCAAAAACACAAAGGTTAACGGAGCCGGGCCGCTAACCGACTTACAAAAACTGAACAACTCTGTGGGCTTTGTCTCAGAGTGATCAGCACCAGGTGTGTGGGTCTCCACACCTGCTCCCAATACACCCCACCTGTTGGGAATGTAGGTGCCCCCCACTACCCTGCCTCTCAGCCTCACAATAGTTGAAGCCGTAGGACAGCTGCTGCGTGAGGTGTTGCATTTTACCGATAACAAATAAGGTCCTGGGATCGGAGCGCTAGGTGAACGTCAGGGATTGTAGAGTTGGTCGACTGTCACCGTTGTTGGAAATATATGTTTTATTGGCGACATCGCACACAGATGCACAACAGACAAGATTAGTGCCGCTGTGGTGGGCACGCAACATTAAAAACGACTCTTCTTAGTCAAATGAATTCAGCGTACTGTAGCTCGTGAACCAGGCGGTGTGGTGGGCTCACTTCCTGTCTTAATACTTTGTGCACTTCTCGTAATATGGAGAATTGAAAGGTAGAGGGAGGGGGTGTTAACCGAAGCGGTGCAAAATTAGAGAGATGCAGCCAGCGAGAGAGGAAGAGAGAAAACAAGAAGCAGAGAGGAGAAGCAGACTGAACAGAGACATCTGAGGGGGAAGAGGGTGAGAATAGAGAAGGACAGGACACAGACCGCTACAGAGGACTGTAGAGAGGAGGAAGAGGGGATTCCGACTAAAGGACGTGAGAAAGGAGTATGCCGGATTTGTGACTCAGTCAGATAGTGAAGAAAAAAGGACGGGTTTCGCATTATATCAGATTAAAACAAATTCATGGAGGTTCAACAGACAGTGGATCGCTTTGCTGCTGCAGCTCTCGACACTTTCCCACACATTCAAAGTGCAGCTGTGCTGAAATCTCTCCGGGAGGAATATTGACGGTGAGTGTTCTGCTCTAATCCAAACATCTGTGGCTTTGACTCGACTTATGTATTAGCGTGCACTTCTCTTCTTTACTTTAATACCGGGGAGAGGAGTTTAGGAGTTGAATAGGCGTGCAAATTGGAATTAGATGTGAACCCAGATCCGCCACTGACCTGCAAGAACTTATTTTTGTTCAGAGAAACATTTATGTATTTTCCCG